GTACTGCCCCTTCGCGTCGGTGGTCTCATCTATAGAGACCCATATCCGTTTGTCTCCGATAGCGGATCGTATCCGATGGATCGTGCCCTCATACAGTTTCTTAAGGTAATGTTTGCGGAGCGTCGTATGGTCGGGCAGGATCTCCTTGCAATACTTCAACATGAAGTTCTTGAAAGACGGATCCTGCACCTTGTACAAGGGAATATTTGTTTCTACCGACATTTGACAGAGATCCATATTGAAAACACTTGCTCTGGTGGAGAATTCGAGAAAGTTGGTCACAAGACAGACGCTCTGCGTGGCTTTCTGAGAGCGTCGCTCACGGTCCTTATGTCCGACGCTGTTCAAATACTGCTGCACGAAATATTTTTTTCCGACTTGACTTCTTTCTCGCAGACCTTGCAAATGAGGACTCTGCCGTCAGTCGTCAGCACGGTTGGTCCGAGCTCCTTGACGAAAAGCTCCATCCGGCCACGCGCGCTGCGTGCTTGTTTCGGCTGGTCTCCATCGCACTTGCCCGTGGCGCCGTCACTTCGCACGACAACGTTGCACGACGCGGCAGTTGCTAGCCATTGGCTGAGATTGAGAAAACAGACGCTTGCTCCATCCATTCCCCGACGTCATAGATTGAACAGAGAGCGCAGAAAGCGAATTGAGAGGACATCCGCCAGAAATAAGTCCGAAATAGGCAAAATGCCTGAAGAAAACCAGAAATAGGCAAAATGTCGGGCAAAACACGTAAATAGGCAGTTATAGGCACTTATGGCATTTTGCCTGAAAGTCCAGGCTCTAGTGAAGTCCCGCCTGCCGTCATTATCAGCGGGACATGATTCGTCTCAGCGTCGAGCACTTGATGATCCTGGCGACCCTCAACTCAGTGTCTTCTTTTTTCACCGCATCCGATGTGATCCGAGCAGCCGGGCGGTATGGGTACACTGCCGGCGTTCATGGAGGAGATCTGCTGATCCTTAAGGTCGGAGGAATCCTCTCTCCCAAGGGTAGCTTCCGAACAGGAGCCAGCATGCTTTCCCTCGACGATGAAAACCCGCAGAGCACCCGTCCTCCAGCCGCGGGAGAAAGAGAATCGCCCCGAGGCCCTGCGAAACCGTTCCAGCTCGACGCTATCGCAGCCCCCCAGAAAATCGTCCTCCCAACAAAACATCGGGATGGAATGCTCCGTCGAAGATCTGCAAACGGAGAATCCGAGAGAGCGCAACCGTAGAGTCTCTGGAAACCGATCCATTGAGCTGATTTGCTCCTGCAACCAGACCTCTGCCACGGTTCCTATGAGACCCTGAGTGTTGGCTCATGATGATGACCCGTTCGCGAGACTCGCCAAAGCGAACAGCGTGGTCCTACCAGTGGGTTTTTCCGACAGCTTTGCTTTGATTATAGCGAGACATTCGGATATCACATCTTTCCTCACAGTCACGTCTGGAGAGCCGTTGATCTGTCTGATCGCGTCCATTTTCTTCCTCGGGTTAGTGTCCTTCCCCGGGTCCTCCTTTGAGCATCAACCGATGGCCATCGAACTGAACCAGATCGCTCACAATCTCATCTGGGCCACACCATTGACTTCCGAGAGGAAAAAATTCCGTGTACTTTTTCTCGCCGCCGCGAATCTCCTGATGATTTTCTCCCTGAGTGCGTTTTACAGCAACTACATGATGTCTCGGTTCCTCGATCCGGTCGAAGACGGCCATCTCGCTACATTCCGTGTCGTTCTCGAGGACAATGCCGCACTGATTTAATCTATTTTTTACTAGTTTTTTATATTTTCATCCGCTGGGTCGAGAAAGGTGCACCCCGTGGAAGGTTCATAAGTTTGGTTCACTCGGCCGATCCTACCGAATAGTTCCGCCGATCCGACCGATAAATAGATTTCGTTCGAAGGGCGAATCTATAAGGGGGCAAAGGGCTCAAAATTATGACTCGTCTTTTCAGAGCCTGAACCTCAGCAGAGGAGCGGAAATTTTCCGCCCCTGCTCTCTACCTCTTTCGTCCGAAAGCTACTGCGCGTCGCAGATATTTGATTGCGGAGCATACGCAAGCAATTAAAGAGCTATCACGAAGGAAGGCTATCACGGAGAATGGCGTGATGTAACTCGCCATGGTGAATTTTTCACTGGCGCCATGGCTCAGAAATGAGTCTCATACAGGATTGTCACAGTGAGTAATTCTCTCACCGTATGAGAGTTGGAGACCTCACCATTCCCCCCTTCGGAATTCCCCGTCAATGACCCGACCGTCCAGGGAAGCCCAAAAAAATAAGAAATCACGATCTTCTCACTAATTCTCGCAGACCTGGTTGTGAGGAAGGCGTCGTCGCTCTCGCACGCGGGCTTTCTATTTCCGTTCGCTGTTTCGAATCGAGCGAGATCATGTCAGTCGTTGTTGAGGAGGAGCACGGAAGCGAATTCTGTTCTCACTCTCGAGGCGGTCGTCCACGAAGTCTGTCAAGCTGGCATATGATTGCGAGACGTATGTGTATTGCCAGGGACCCCAGTCACGAGTCACAATGTTCCCCTGGAACCAATCTTCAGGGCAGGTTATAAATGCATGCTCAAAGCCCTGCTGACATTTTCGCTCGTAGAAACGATTCCACGTAGATTTCAAGGTCGAGTAAAGCGAGGAAGTAGGTGATGAGTGATGAGTGACCAAGACTGGGTAGAGCGTTCGTCGGTCGCGCTCTTACCCTTGACTCTGACGAAAGCAATGAGCTCTTCGGGTGGTTGGGACATCGTTGTCTATTGTTTCTCAGTGAATAATAACAGCGGACATTTTTCAGGCAGAAAACTGGACGCGGGTCCGAATGACTCCCGTAGGGCCGAAAACGCGAAGGGCCGAAATCCTGTCGGGCCGAAAAATCGGATAGTCGAACGCTCATGGGGCCGAAAACCCGTAGGGCCGAAAATTTTCCCCCTCTTTTCTCAGCTTGTTGCCTGCGGAGTAAGCTTCTATGTCCAGAGTGGGAGTTGTCATAGGGAAAATTACAGCGAGGACATAAGGTTATTCCCAAGG